CCCCCCCAGATGTTGCGCCCGGTGCGGCCGGCCCCCCCTGCACCCCCCACGCTACGCCTCTGACCTATTGTACAATAGCTCTTTAGCAAAGTCTAAATTGCTGGGAAAGATCAAAAGAAAAAGAGGCTAGTAGTGAAGAGGATGGATCCAATTATAGCAGTAAGGGGTGCAATACTGGAAAATCTACAAGGCTTATCTGGGGAAAGGTCATACTGGAGATTTCTCTACAGGTATATGTTCGCTAAGAGTAGCTTGATGGCACAGATCAATTAATTCTTCCAGCTATTTCCCAAGAGTGGAATTTTGAATGCAGGCCAATGGTTAATATCTCTCCCCAAATTCTTAAAGTTCTTGATGATGTCAAGAAGAAAAGTCACTTAAATCCCTGCTTCCTACTATCCTTTGTCTATTTTTCCTTGCTGAGACTTAAAGGAGAAAACAGTCCTAGTCTGGGGATACAATTTCTTTTAGCCTATGGAGAAAAGCTTCATCTCTGAGTATATACATTCATATATGGATGAAATATCATGGTTATATTATTGACAGATCTAATAACGATCTCATATTCATGTTCTAGAAATGTGCTTACCATCACATGTGAAATCCTGTGTAGCAACATCTTGAATTGGAATCTCCTTTAAGAAGAAGGGTTTCTGGCAACGTGGATTTCCACTGACAATCCTTCTCTTCCTTAACCATTTCCCCAACCATGCTAAGTGGCAGTTGCAGTTAAATGGATTAGATAGCAAATTACTAGATGAAAAATGAGAAAAAAAAATGCAGTCAGCTATTGAAAAAAATCAAGACATAGATTTTTCAAAAGCTAATTGATATTCAAGTGGGAAACTTCTGGTAATAAATTAATTTTACAATGGAAGCTGCATGCCTAACAGGGTTTTTTTGTTTTGATTTTTTCTCTCAAAAACAAGTCATAAAAAAGAAAAAAAAACTACACCAAACAAATTCTGTTGTCATTAGGTTTCTTATCATGTACTAGATCAATTTGTAATATATTTAAAAATGGAAATACTTAGCTGTAGCTAAATAATGTAACCCTATAAACAGATGTTCTTGCTTTGTGTTTCTGTGTTGTATGGGTGCACGAATGGAAGCAGCAGCAAGGTTGTTTGTTTTTGACTAGGACAGCAGAGTTGTGGCTTAATTTTACTTCCCAATTTCCCCAATTTAAACATCTCTAAACTTACTTTTGGAATACAATGTTGGTACCTATTTATTCACTAATGCATATATCAAACAATTAATTCACATTACGAAAGGATTGTGTCCTTCAGTTCCTTCCTGGCTGCAATAGAATTTTGTTACTAAAATGGGTAATATATATCATATGCCAAAAGCTTAAAAGAAATGTATCATGAACTAAAGTTTAGAAGTGGAGGGGAGGGGGGCAGGGATACAAACTTCCCAAGTAAAAATCCCTTTAGAAGAATCCAAGGCTAGTTTACACAGTACATTAATGCATGCAACTTCAAAGATATGTTATTGCCAATGATGATGGAAGGACTCAAGATACATCCTATGATGCCATGATCTAATGGTTATGCAGGGATAAGTCTAAATACATTACATCAAAGCTCTCTGCAGGATCCAGTTGTTTTGCAGTACCATACTGTAAGCTCAATCACTTTCAGACATCTGTGCAACATCACAATGCCAATATAAAAAGGGCAGAGCTTGCGTTGAATTGGTGTGACACTGCTTTCACCCCACAGATGCCTCTGCATCATATGAAGACGGTCTGATCAGTCTCAGAAGCTCCAAAGAATACAAGTTAAATCTGATGTGTGAATGTTCGTGCCATATCATTTTAAAGAGATTATTTTCAATAACCAAAGTGTCTCCTTGTGATAAACAACAATAATCTAGGAGTGGATTAGAAATCAGTGCCTTTCAGGTGTTGCTAAATTACAGTTTTGAACAGTCACAAAAACAGGAACAATGGAGAGGAATGCTGGGAGTTGTAATTCAGCAACATCAGGTGAGACATAGGTTCCTTACCTCAGGTTCAGTCTTATAAATTATAAGTTACCCAACCAGCATTTTTACGGAAGGAAGGAAGGAAGGAAGGAAGGAAGGAAGGAAGGAAGGAAGGAAGGAAGGAAGGAAGGAAGGAAGGAAGGAAGGAAGGAAGGAAGGAAAGGCTGCTAGTAACACTTTTAAAGTAATGTGCAGTTCAGTTTGGTTATTTTGAAAAGCATATAGCAGTTTCTGAAATATGAACTAAAAGGGGATGAGGCATATCACATGAAATATTTTAGTCAATTTAGTTCCATAGCCTCAACTAGATAACTTCAGTTAAAATAATAGTTTGATGAGTTGGGAATTTGGGCTGCATATAAATAAATAGTTATTGAAATTTTTTGACATTAAGGCAAAGCTAAACCTGTTTTCAGAGTAAAATTATTGATCTTTCTGCTACTGAAATACCGAACAGCCAATATGTTTTAAAGGAACAGACAATAATGCACTTTATTGTGCAAAACTCAAAGGAACTATAGATGTAGCATTATTAAAAAAATATCTTGCTGTATCTAAACATGTAGACTGGGACTGTGGAAATTTATACTCTGGATGATCAAGTGTGTCTCTCATAACAATTACAGAAATATCACATAATGTAGAGAAATGAAGTTTTCTGAAAAGTAGCTAATTATTTGTAATTACATTTGAGGTAAAAGGAACCCTCTCCCAGTTAACAGAGGTTAACTATTATAATCCAGCTGGATGATAGTTCTTTGCTACAAATGGCATGCTTGCATTTACATCTGTGGATTAAAAAACTGATTAAATTTGAGAAAAAGAAACCTAACATGATTCAGAAGGGAAACCTTATTCACACTAGAATTTTCAGTGATTTTGTACTCTTTTTATGTGTGCTATAAAGTGTGTGTGCCTGCGCGCGCGCACGCACACACACATATACACATTTGCATCTGGTTTGACATGAACAAAATACCATGAATATCTCAAAACTGAACCATCACTATCCACTTTAATTTATTCTAACCAAACCAAAAAAAAAGATCAAAGGTATCTTATTCTTTCTTCTGCAAATGTCATTGTTGGGATTGTAATTACCTAGCTGTTTTTAGTTTTTAATGATTGTGGTGCAGGACACAAAGTCTGTCTAAAACCGAAATGAAGGGAGTAAGTTTAGAAGGGCAAGGAAAATAAATACAGGTTCTGCCAAGTTAAAAATTGAAAGAAATGTGAGAATACTTAAGTGGCAATTAAAGTAAAGAATGATAAGGCATACAAATAGAACACTTCAAAGACTCTTAATACACACGAAAAAAGTAAACCAGAAGAAAAGCCATTGGAACTGTGGTAGAGAGATTAGTAAAGGCCTGAAGGATCTGAGTCATGAAATTAAAATTCAAATGATGCTTGTAATGGAACAGCTATACTATTTCTGTGAGCCAGGAAAACTGATTTGGCCCATAAAACAATTTTGCTCAATTTATCAAGGATCAGGCCTCAGTGAATATCTCTTTTTCGGCCACACCAAGGACCAAGTGCAAAGCTGGATGGTAACAGTAATTCCCATTATAACTGCTAAGGGAAAGGGGGAATGCTGAACATGGTGCTCATCATACCCTTTTGGACATCTTTGGAAAAAAGAAACACTTTCACAAACAGAAATGAGGTCATTTGTTCATCATTTTATAAACCAGGATCCTTAATCTTAATTATAAGAGACTATCCACCCCAAAATGCAACAGCTGTGGTAATTAATACTTGAATTAGGAAGCCCTCACTTTCTCACCCAGTTTGGACATTGTCTTTTCTAGGATACCCTTTAAAACAGTGTTTTTCAAACTTAACAACTTTAAGATATGTGGACTTCAATTCCCAGAATTCATGCTGGATAGAGAATTCTGAGAATTGAATACCACACATCTTAAAGTTGCCAAGTGTGAGAAACATTGCTTCTCACAGTGCTTTAAAGACTACGTCTTCTCCCTATTAGGCTTCATAGCTGCAGCATGAGAACAAGAATATTAATCACCACTTAAAATCTTCCTTTACTTTGAAAATTATTAACACAACATGCATGAAGCTCTGGAATATTCTCCAGGATTATTCCAATTTTTTTTGGGGGGGGGGTTTCACATAATTAAATGAAAGCAGTGACAATAAAGTAAATGCAAGATCTTAAGTTATAACAAATGACTTACATTGTAGATAAAGAAACAAGTGTACTGAAGGCTCCTGGAGTTATTGTAGTAATGCGATTGTCATACAGAGAAAGTAACCTTACTGAGCTCAGTCCTGTAAATGTGTCATTGTTTACACAACTGATCATGTTGCTTCTGAGCATCCTGAAAGGATTCAAACATAAAATTACACTTACTGAATTGATGTTGGAAGGAGGTAGAGAAAAACACAGAACGGGAATTATTTTGTGGGACAAGGCAATCAAAAGAAGCACGTGCTGCTTAAGAATTGGCCAATGTATCCAGATCTCCTGGAAAAAGTAAAATAGGTTGGCTTGGAAATATGTGGGGGACTTCTATTTTCACTCAAATGTAAGGTAGGATTCAGCAATAATTCAGGAATTATTAAATTGTGAGTAATCAACACATAAACCCTTCCTTTAAATTTCTCTCAACCTATCTTACATTGCGTAAATGAGTCTGCAGAAGAAAATCTTTCATGTGCACTATTGCATATGCATTCTGACTGCCATGGAACTGTAAGCTCCCATTTTTCTCTCTAATACTGTGGAGAAATGATCATCAGGAGATTGAAAACAATAAAACTTGTATACCTATGACTCAACTCATATATAAAAAAAGAAAAAAAAATCCATTCATTGTGATTTTCTTAGTAGCAATATGGAAGTGATCATCCACTGCTTTCTTGTGGAATGTATTTTGACTTCCCAATCTATCCTACAGCCCTGTGATTTCTGGTGATCTTTTTTCCAAGTAAACAAATCTAACTCTATTTTGCTTTCCAACATCAGCAAGTTTAGCCAGAGGGAACAATTGATCCAGGGTTAAGAAAGAAAAGGGCACTCTGGAAACAGAGATAGTTTCTTGAGTACTGATGCACTCGAGAATGAGAGAGAGTTTCATTTGTGCCAATAAGTGATATTCAAGATTGCCAGAAATTCAACCCAGGAAATAATTACAACAGTTTTAATAATCCATTCAACTGATTTGGGGAAATTGATGCTATGTAAAACTTTCCTCTTCATTTCCAATCGTTTCCCTGACACTGCATCTGTACATTCACAACAGGCAGTGTTCCTTCGCTTCTCTCTCCTCCACATCTAAAAGAACAAACAGACTTTATACATACAGTGTCTTGAGTCCTGTGAGACCTCTAAACATTCGTCCGTGCACAGATTCCAGCTGATTCCCTGTCAACATCAGTTCCTGCACTCCCGCTGCCCCATCAAAAGTGCCTTCACGGATCTCTTTGATCTTGTTATTACTTAAATTTCTGTAAGAGGAAACAGATTCACAGGCAGCATTATTTGACATATGTTTTGTGTAAGATAAATGCAAGCATGTTTGCACTGGCAACAAACGGGTGAACAATAGCTGAAACAAAACTAAAAGAATGGAACCAATTTAATTTCCAGGGTTATGCTGAAATCTGAATTGCAATATTTCACTTTTCTTCCAACAGGAAAAGGGCATCTGTGATCTAGTTCTTCTTTCTCAGGGAAGTTTTTTTTTTCTTTGAGAATTTCTTTCCAATTTCTCCTGGTGGTGTTTTTGAGCCTCTTTTATTGATGGAAGTGGCAAGAGATGCTACTGAATTACTGCTAGTGTTAGTTGCACAACTTTCCATCATTCTGCAGCCCCCATGTCTGCCAACACTTCTTAATCTGAAAAGCCCCATGGGGTGAAGTTTCTTTATAAGGTCTTCTATGTGATTTAATTGAAAGGTAGAAACAAAGCAAGGCTATACTTTGTTGAAGAAAAGATTGTATGAGGAACAAGATGAGCATTTGAATTGTTTAGACATAATATTACTAAATAAATTCAAAAGTACACACTCGCTCATTAAGTTGGAAAAGAATTGGTAGACCAGAAAAAAACAAAACCCACTGCTGCTAAAACAGAAATGTTTTTTTGGGGGGGTATGGCAGTGGTATTTTCTGTTTCACAATTATTATTCATGTTGAATTCATGCCATGAATATTTCATTTTTTTAAAATAATCACGTTACTGCCCATTCTTCCAATGATTTCTAGCATATCAGTTTCAGAACAAATGCAAGATGTGGCATCACTGTGCCAGCAGAGCATCCAACCTGTTCTCATTTAAATTTCTTTAGGACATCTGCTTTTATTTTAAAATGCTACATACTTGAACAGGGGAAACCAGAAATTTAATTGCAGATAGGAAACCCATAAAATCCATTAACATTTTTAACCCCAGTTTTATCTGCTATTCTGTAAATTATACTTAGGATCCTTTTATTATATTTGTTTCATTTTTGCATTCCCAGTAAATTCTGTTCCATTTAATAGGTTCCTAGTCATTCCATGTTCAAAGAAATTAGCCTGCATTACTTCATTTATGAAGTAATTCTACTAAAGAGGACATTATGTTCTCATGATTAAAGGAGAGATTTACCTTGTTTAAAGACAAACTGGCTACATCACATACTAGTGCTACTAGTTATTAACAACTAATTTACATTATTGTTTATATTTAAATCCAATCGCGTTTTTAATTTTTTTGTTATATTGTAGACTTTTTACTACCAATGCAGAAGACTCAAAGGGCTAGAAATTTGATAAATTAAATAAATACATTTTATAGCAACATTTTAAGGCATTATTTTTATTGTTTTACAGTTAAAGCAATGCACTAGAACATATGCAATGATGTAAAACCATGTTTTCAAAGAGTGTGGTTCTAGTCTATAGAAATAACTGACACGTGGTTTTGTGTTATTTTCACAAAGTCCAGTTTCAGAAAGAAAACTTTACTAAGAAAGCTTATTGCAAATATATGAGACAAGACAGTGTGATGTTTAAAGTAGGAGACTATAAGCTGAAGAAAGAACCATTTGCCAGCAGGATAGTTCTGGTTCATATGCCTTATAAAATCTGTTCATTGTAACAATCATCACTGGGAAAAACTAATTTGGAAGACTGAGGTTAGGCTTGCATGAGGAACTGGTAGTCTATTTTCTGTTTTCTGAACAGTAGAGGCAGCCTGGTTATACAGCTTGTGACCCATCACCTTTCTTGCTGTCTGGTGGAATAAAGCAGCGGAAACAATGATGCACAAAACCAACCATTATAATGTGAGCTCTTTTAAAGTGACTTCATGCATTTCATTGGTAACTATAATGTATAAGATTTGCCTTTATGTTTAATGTCAGCAACAGCTAAGGAAGAATTTTATTTTTTTAGAAAAATCATTTGGTGCTGAACTATTATTCAATGAACAATGGACAAGCATCTCTTTCTGAATCCTAAGAACATAAGAGTTGCTTTTATAATTATCCTTCCTTTTTATCTAATAATAAATGTCCCCAAAGGTTGTTTGTTTTAGTCTTTTGAAGACATGAGCAGGTTCTCTGAATCAATTTCAAAGAAAGAGATGTGCAAATATATTGTTTGAATTGTCACATTTACCTTAAAGGGAGATGATTCTGAATTTAAAACAAGCAGCCATTACATACAAAGCAAAAAGGTAAACTGTTTCACATGGAGTCAGTAAATACAATATAATACAAGGCCTCCCTGTGAATCATAGAGTAGCAATGTGACACAGGAAACAAATGCAATAGAGATGAATGATAGAGCTGCATATAAGGTAAACATAACACCCATAAGCCTTTCCAATATTATGAAATTTTGGGTGAAAACCAGTAACAACACTTCCTATAGGTTGAGTCTCTTGGGTGGTTGTGAATGTCTGCTATTATGGGTGAAGACTGGCCCTCTTTGTACTAAGAGTTTCTCCGACCTTGCTGAGGTTGCTGGGCTCTTCTCACCACTTACTGGGACGTTCTGCGTTTGACTGGTGTCAGGTATAACGGCTCCCTCAGGACTGTTATTAGCATTGGTCTGTGGCATCAATACTGTGCAATCCCTATTGCCTGTGGGTAAGTGTGCCCAGTAATACCAGGTGAGTGAGGCCTGTCCACTGGATATGGAGAGTCAGGCTGCGAGTCAGGCTGCTCAGCCACACAAGATCCACACGATTGTGACAATAGAAGTTTCCATCAGCATCCACTAGATAGGAGCTTGGTGCCACCTGTTGTAAACAGATACCCATTTTCCAGCGACCTGTTTGATCTCCAGGCAGCAGTTTCATAGGGACCCGTTCGCCAATATTCAGTTCTGGCAAATCTCTCGCTGATTTGTCATATCTTGCCTAGAATACTAGTCTCTTAAGCTGTAATTTTTCTGGGACACCTTGTATCACAGAGGGCTCAAGCAACTTATTTGCCACTGGTAAGAAAGTCTTTAGTCTCCCTGACATCAGTCTCTGTGCCGGACTACTGTCCATGCCCTCGGTTGGAGTATTTCTCCAATGTTTTTGCTTGAGTCACTTTGAATTGTAACAGGCTTTGTGACATCATAGTATTTCAACACTGGGGCAATGGTGACCAAGCGTTTTATCTCCTTTACTGCCTGGTCATGGTTGGTAAGCCAGTGCTAAACCAAATCTTTGTCCAGACAGGTGCGGCAGGAATTTTGCTAAGTATGTGACAAAACTGATAAATCTCTGCACCGATTTGGCATTGGCAGGTGATGGCATGTCCACAATGGCTCTAATCTTATCCAGGTCAGCTTTTAAGTCTTGTGAGGACAGGATATGTCCATGAAAATGGATTTCTTGCACCTTGAACTGTAATTTCTTTGCACTGAGCCTCAACATCATCTGTCTAAAATGGCTTAGTAGTGCTATTAGCTTCTCATCATGGTCATGCTCAGTTTTTTCATTTGTATCACCACAGCCAACTATGAGAATGTCATCAGTTATTGGCTCAGTTCCACTGAGCCCATTCAAAAGTTCATGCTGCTTTCGTTGATATACCTCTGGTGCTACAGAGACTCCAAAGGTAGTTTGAGCCATTTCTTTCTGCCCCAAGGAGTCCAGAATGTGGTCATGTAGCTACTCTTTTCATCCATTTGCACTGTAAAAAGGCATATCTAGCATCAACAGGTGTGAAAACCTGTGCAAAACGTCATCAAATGTTAGCATTAGGAAGTGTGACCTTTTCAGGACCATATTCAGAAACTTGAGATCAATGAAGATTCTGATCTTCTCAGGCTCCCTAATAATAACCATGTTACTTATCCAATCGGTAGGCTCAGATACTGAAGTAATGTGTCCTGCAGTTTCTTACTTGTCCAGTTGAGCTTTGACCTTTGGCTTAATGGCTATTGGCATATTGCATGGGGCACATTTACTGGTTAAATGGCAGGATCAAGTTCAAAGTGAACCTCTCCTGGAACAGATACTATGGGACCCTCAAACGCCTCATTGTAGACTTGAAGGATTTGCAGTTTTTTCAGTGGCCTTACCAAGGATTTTGGGAGGTGAATCTCAACACTGTGTAACTCAGCCAGAATGGTGAACTGCATCAAACCCAGATGCTCACATGTTGTTCCAGACAATAGCGGTTTCTGATCGGTTTCCACAATATTACATTCAAGTTTGTGAATACCCCCACCTATGTTGCATTCTGTTTGGAAAAGTCCCAATGATTCCGTAAGTTTCTCTGAATATAACTTCATTTTGGTGCTACTAGGCTAAAGGGGTATCTCAGGTGCCAGTTTCATTTTGTCCTTTAAACTCATGACATCACATGTTGCACCCGAGTCCAGTTGGCAGGGTTGGATTATATTGTTTAATCTGAGATTTATGAACCATTTTTTGCCCTTAGAGTTTACAGCACCAATGCATTCTTTTATATAAATCACATTGGTGGTAAACAAGTGTTCATCTTTAGGATCTGACATTTGCTCAATTGTGTGCAGCTTTCTCGCTTCCATTTTACTAAAGAGACACACTCATGCAAAATGAATTGGTTTCCCACATGCTCTGCAGGTTTTCCCATATGCAGGACACTGCTCTTTCTCTCGTACATGCACACTGCCACAGTACTTGCATGATA